TAAAAAAATTGAATTAAAAAATTACACAAAAAAATGAAGAATTTTAAATAGTTAATTTAATACTAATATCGATATATTTTTGTCAAATTTTTATGATATTTTCAAACATATATTTTATTATAAAATAAAAACATCATCGCTTTCTCAAAATCACATAAAACCATATTATAACATCGACTGAGATAAAAAAATAAAATGAAATATTAAAATCACGATATATCTCGCTGCATTGCGCGAGTACGCTTATATATATATATATATATATATATATATATAGGGGCTGATTCAAATACTAACCAAGTTTATCGTGTTAACTTTGTTAACCCGATCTTGGCTGATTCAAATACTAATCAAGTTTATCCATTTTTTGCAGTTACTGTATGTCCATTCAACATCAAATGCACGCATTCAAGTCGAAGACGAGACACCTCCTTTGAGGGCATGGACGATGGATTTGTTGAGGAAAAGGCAATAGGTTGAGATTAGAGGTGGTGGACTGGGATATGCGCAGTTTAAACATGTGCCGAACGTCGAGCATGCACCGGTTGACAAGCATGGTGAACCGGGTATAACAACAAAGGATATTGGGGAATCAAGTCGGCATAATCAAGAGAGTGATGATGGAATGACAAAGGAGGTAAACGTATAAACTCTATATAATAGTTGGTTATATTTATTTATAATAGAAGCTGAGTTAGATGTTGTATGTTTGACATATTTTATGTGAAAATGTTATTCTCATGTAATTTAGAGTACCCTTTAATCCATACTTATTATCCGAAGTATTAGATTTTCATACCTAAGCATTTTAACACTTTAACTTGTCTATTTGTGAACGAACATATGTTTCTTAAGTAATCAATTTCGTAAAATAGCGGCGCAATCGATACGGTACAGCCTCTATACGAAGTACTTTACTGTTGTAATTTTTAAAAATAAATCGGTGTGATAACAAAACATCAAGTTAGTATAAGTTCATAACATGAAAAGCATGAAGTAGGATGTTAATGTTTTTAGTACATATGCGTTTTAACAATTTGACCTTTTCTTTTTTCAGGAATGCATTAGGAGTATGTGGAAAGAGATTGATGATTTGTGTACCGCAATAGAGGAGGCAAATTTGCATCTACTGTCGCTTATTGACCGCTTTCCGGGCGACGTTGAAATTGAAGAATTCAAGTATAAGTTAGCACAAGTACTTAAAGGGAGTAAATGGTACACCCAACCAACAGAGCCAACGGTGTACGAGCAGTCACAGCCACCCACTGCAGATGCTACATCGCCAACGACGGGTCACGTGCCCACTTTGGCTATTGTTGAGGTAACACCTGCGAAGGTGGCGACCATATCGGATGCTGATTTATTGTCCCCGTTATCTCAGTTCTGGACAAGTCCAACAGTGATCGCTGAGGTTGATAGGGCTTCAAATGAGAAGTCTGCGCATCTAACGAGATATAATATGCGGTCGAGTAAGCAGGCTGATCATACGGGACAGTTAAAGATGCCATCATTCAATTCACAGGTGGACAAGGTTGGAATTGTCCGAAATAGGACTATTGATCAGTCCAAAAGTTAGGCCCGAAAGATGTATAAGAGAGGTGATGAAGGAGCAGTGAAGTGTACGCAAGGAAATAGTGAACAACCACTTGTTTCGTATGGTGACATCGATCCACCATCGTTTGAATTGGGGTTAAGCCCATACGATAAACAAGTCGTTCCGGTTGTGGATAGTTCACGGGCAAGGAGGGATCCAAAACTTAGTTTTAAGCTACGGTCTGTTGGTCCCAAAAGGGTCTACAAGAATACTAAA